GACTTGTCCAGGTCCCGCCGCAACTTGCTGAGCGGTCCGAGGTCCCGCCACTTTGATTCACTGGAGGCACAGTTACATTGAGTTCAGGGGTCAGCGAGCCAAATGGAGGGCTGAGTTGGCAGAGTGCCTACATCGACCTGTGGTGAGTCATGGAAGTGGAGCCATTCCATAAATAGGGGGGCTCTGGCAGACGACATTCTGGGACCAGGCAGGACTGGCAAGTACAAGAGGCAGCAGTGACTTCAGTCAATTTTTCCCTTCCCAAATGGGATTGGTGGAGTGAGGTAGGCCTGGGTTATGTGACCTGGCTGAGATCAAATAGGTTATCCGAGGTCAAGTCCCTGCAGCCGTGGTGCACACTAACCACACTGGCCCAGTGGGGCCTCAGAGGTTTGGCTGGTTCAGAGGAAGGCAATGCAAAGTAATACAGGCCACAGCAGCTTGACTGATCTGGAGGGGAGGGGCCAGCATAAGCTGTCCCTGTTTGCAACTCACTAACACTGCAGTGTGAAGGGTCATCTAGTCAGCATGCTTCAGAAGAATTGTAACCAAAAAAGAAGCTGGGGCCTCCTAGAAGAAGCAAAAAAGATGGGAAGAGGAAGCAACAACAAAAAGTTCCCAGACCCCAACCCTGAAAACATTGACCCAGGACAGGTAAGTGCAAAGGAGAATGAGAACAGCAAACATACAATATCAGACACAGCACCAATGGACATAAAGAGATATATTTGGGACCTCATAGATGAGTTCAAAAGTGAGATATTTAGCCAAATAAAGCAAGATATAAGATTAATAAGAGAGATACTAAGCACCCCTCAAGCAGACACAGACGAAAGAAGGGAGGAACGCAAACATAGGAGAGAACCATTTGGTAAAGAATATAAAGAAATATAGCCTACATGAAGCAGATTCAAAGAGATCACCAGGAAATTAAAAACTCTATGGAAAGATGGCAAATCAGCTTGAAAGAGACTAAGGATAGCTTATCCAAACTGGAGGACACTTTTGCAATGTGGCAATATGAAAGAGAAAACTTTTTAAAAATAACAAGGAAACAAGCAGTAACCATACAAAGGCTAGAAGATGACAAAAGGATCTGTAACTTGAGAATAAAGAATGTAAATGAAGAAGCTGGGATACAAACAAAGGGACTACAAAGGTTATTCACAGAAATCATTAAGGAAAACTTCCCAAACATAGGAAAAGGAAATGATATTCCAATATATGAGGCATACACCAGCCACCTACAACCAAAACAGAGCTACACCCAGGCATATAATAATCAAGATCCCAGAAATTCAATATAACAACAATATTAAAAGCTGTTAGAGACAAGAAACAGATAACCTACAGAGGAAGACCCATCAGAATAATGGCAGACTTCTTGACACAAACCATCAAGTCAAGAAGAGCCTGGAGTGAAATATTCCAAGCCCTGAAAGAAAAGAACCTCCATTCCAGGTTGATATACCCTGCTAAACTGTCTCTAGAAATTAATGGAGAAACAAGATGCTTTCAAGACAAAGAGGAACTTGGGAAATTTGCAACCACCAATCCAACTCTACAGAGAATACTCCAGGGCATTCTAGAGAGAGAGAAAAGTAATTGGATTTCAGGAACAGTGGCAGAGAGACCTCAATGAATGGAGCAGAAAACAGAATGAAGAAGATAAGCAGACAACTGATGACAAAAAAGAGCATAACAGAAATGAGGCAAAGATTTTATTCCAAACTGATACGATTGATAGTATCAAGTCTGAGAGTAGGCAACTACACTGAAGATGACAAGACTCTACAATACACATTCTGGTTTGATAACTGCTGGTTTTTGAAGTTCTATACTATATACAAACTTGTATTTTTATTAAAACTGTTATGTACTGATATATTCAATTATACTATGTCTGATGATATAGCCAGTTCTATTAGCGATAACAAGAAACAACACAGGAACCATGGTAGAACGATTTATACAACTGTCTTATATGTTTATCTCATTTCATGTGTTTATAGGAATATGTTTTGTTTTGCCTTGCTTTGTTTTGTTTCTCCCTCTAATATAGAAAGGGTAGAAATACATGTTAAGACTCATGCATGTGTAGAATCTATAAACAGTTTATGAGAACTGATCTTATGACACATGAGGAGAGACTAAAATACTCAGTGCTGATCCTGGAGTGTCATAATGTGAAACCCAGCAATAGTATTGTTCGTTGTTCAGAGTGATATTAGCCTGCTTGGATTTATTCAATCTCAACATAATTGAAGATATGGATAACTGCATGTATGTTTAAGTGTATAGGATTGATAACCATATTTCTAAGTTTTTGTTGGATAGTTGAACAGAACTGGTTGCAATCTCACTGTTGAATCCCCACTTTATAAGCTCCACTTTAGTATAATAAATAACTATTTGCAAGAAGACAATCTGTAATCATCAACTAGTGATTTCTTACTGTTTATTTTTTTCTTTGAAATTACATATTATTTCTACACGTTTTCTGTTTTGTTTAGTCTTTCTTTAAATTAAATTTTAAAAAAAAGACACTACCATACCCAGTGCTAATCAAGGAGTATCATGATGTGAAACCCAGCAATACTATTATTCTTTGTTCAGAATGATTTTAACCTGCTTTAGTTTGTTTAATCTAAACATAAATGAAGATATGGATAACTGCATGTATGTTTAAGTGTATAGGATTGACAACCATGTTACTAAGTTTTTGTTGGACAGTTGTACAGAACTGTTTGCAGTCTCGTTGTTTGAATTCCCACTTTACATGTTCCATTTTTGTATCTTGAATGACAACATGTAAACATCAGCTAGTGATTTCTTACTGTTTATTTTTTTCTTTGAACATATGTATTATTTCTACCTATTTTCTGTTTTGTTTAGTCTTTAAATAAAATTTTTTTAAAAAACTCAAAAAACCCAAGCAAATTCATGAAGATTGTGACTTCTCAATAAACAGATTGTAAATTATCAGGAAGATTAATTAGAAAATGGTTGGTTTTTATTTTAAAAGTAAAAATAGTTGTTTTTAATGTTGAAATCAATGGGATATCTGGAGTTTTGTTCCCAAAAAGTAGAAAGTAGAGAGCCTTTAAAATATTTACAGTTTGCTATGAAGAACTTTAAAATTCTCAACTACAAATTATAAATTTTAAATATTTATACAAAAGGGGAAACAATTACCAAAGATTTGTGATTTAGAGAGTAAAATAAAATTAACTCAATTTCATGGTAAAGAAAGTTCACATAATTGTCTAGACAATCTTAAATATGAATCTGGTTTATTCCCTATTAGCATTTTATTAACACCAATTCAACTACCAACTTTTGGGCTCTGTTAATTTAAATGTTTTTCAGTCTGTCTTAAACCTTTGTTTATCAATGTAACTATACCCGAAAATGTGTGCTTTATAAAATATTGCTGTCTTCTTTATTTTTGAAGGTAGTCTTAATATTTTATGTGTGTATATATTTCAAGTGCTAAAGTAAGAAAATAATTGTATGCATATATTTAAAAAACTATAGTGAACTTTGGTTTGTTATTGACTTTTATATTGTGAAATTATCTTTATCTTCTGTGTGGATTTAGGCAAGTCAAAGTCTTCCTTTCATTCCCCGATTCATCCTGTATGAAATACTACTGGTTCCAGTCTTGAAGTCTTCATGCTCTGGCCTTATAATAGAGCTTTACAGTTGGCTTTCACCATCTGGGTCACACTGGGGAAGAAGGATGAACTGAATTTACTTTGCATGTTACTTTAACCTTGGCCAAAGTTTTCTTTAGCTTCCTGTGCAGATTGGCATTGGAAGCTACAATATTCATAAAAGTCATGCTTTGCTGAAGTTCACTGTGGCAGCTCTGTTAGTCAGGGTGGGCTGAGGGTGTGGGGTGAAGGCCTGTGAGGACCTGCATGGAGTCCTGCCTGGGAGTGCGCAAGATTCACTGAGCACAGCCCTAAATGTGACAGGGCTGCATGAACCCTAAACGCTGGCCATGAGAGCCATCTTCAGCATGAAATTTGAGTTTCTTTCCCTTTATAGTCAATGAAGAAATTGAAGTTCATGGTACAGTCTTTTCTTTTTTTTTTTTTCTTCAGAGAATAGTCCATCCATGAGAACTGCTTCAAGAATCTTGTTTTTATTGTTCTATTGAGATTTCTAGTTAAATGTCATTCTATAGGATATGCTTTGTGCATCATAAATCCTCTTTTGGCCTCATAAGATAAGCATTGCATCTTTGAGCTCCTTATGTGGAAGTCTTATGACAGTGTCCCTCTGGGACCGACCCATCCTGGGCAGTCTGCAGTTCATCTCATTTATCAAGTGTCCCTGAGTCTGCCCAGGGAAATTCATTAGGAATAGGGATGTCATCTGTCATGGGTTTCATGGGAGAAAAAAAAAAGCTTGGAGAGTGCAGTATTCAAGAATAAGCTGTGTGTGCCGACCACACAGAGCCTAGCATAATGCTTTGCACAAAGTAAGGGCATAATAAATGTGTCCTATATGACCTAGTGAATGAAGCCCACTAGGTTCCTGCATTCCAGGGACTGAAGAAGAAAAAATATAGCATTTGAGGGGTTTTCAGCATCACATTTCAGAAAACTGTGTCTTTCTCTGGTACAGCCGACTGAGCTGCTGTATCATGTCCAGGTGCAGTGTCCTGCTTGGTCTCCTGTATACAGCCACCAGACACAAGGGTCACTTTCCTAGTCCCCCACTGTAGCACTTATGTTTTAACTGCCTAGGCGGTTCTGGTAAAATTGTTACCACAAGTAATTATCCTAAAGTCTTAACATTCTCAAGTAGGAGGTGGCTGAACTATCACGCGAGGACTAAATACTATTTGTCTAGACATTTGATCCAATCTGTATTTTTATTTAACATGTAATTGGTGAGAAAATAGCAAAGACAAATTTAAATGCTTGCATCTCTAACCTTGTCACAGCTGTTGAGCACTCATTCATCATCATTATCTTGGATTCCTGCAGCCAGCAGACTTCATAGGAAAGCAGGCACTGCAACAGATTAAAGCCGAGGGGCTGACACGCAGGCTGGTCTTTCTCACCTTGGCAACAGACGATGTGGACCCGGAGGGGAATGAAAGCGTCTGGTACCGTGGCAAGGTGAGTGTGCAGGACCTTGTGGCCAGGGTCACTATAGTGTCCACAACAGAAACTCCCCATTACGTGTTTATTGGTAAGAGTTTTTGCTGTTATTTATTCACTGGAAGGCTGATATACTCCCCACACTTGTGAGTTCTGAGCTGACATTCAAGAATCAGGAAACACTAAACTGAAAGAAAAATGAAATGCTGCTCAATTTTAAAAGTATATGATCCTATGTGCTCTGTTTAAAAAAAAACCCAAAGGACTTAAAAAAAGGTTGTACAATGGGTAAGATGTGAGTCTGAGGTAAGATAATCTATTTGTTCACCACATCCAAATCTGTAAATGCAAAAGATGGATTTGATAAGGAATTTAGCTTTATTATTCAGCTTCCTGGGGAATCTGAATCAAAAAAGGGACAGTTAGCCTACAGTGTTGGCAGAAACTCACCATGAAAACATCTATGTCAAGGGGCAAAGACGGAGCCTTGAAAAGTTAAGGAAAAGGGGTTACCTTTGGATTTCTGAAGAAACAGCAACTTCAGTTCAGGCATGCGTATTTTTAAAACTTTAACTTTTTATGCTACCAGGGATTGAGCCCAGGGTCTTCCCCTGACCTACAGCCCCAGCCCAGTGCAGAACTAACATCTACTGATACTGCTGCTATTTTCATATACTCTATCACTTACCCTCTCCATTATATATCATTATCTCATTTAAAGATGAGCTTTGGGGCTCAGAGTTTAAATCCCTCAACTTTGTACAGCTAGCCTGAGCTAATTCCCAATCTAGATGTGCTTGGACTTGGAATTTCTTCTAGGGTACACTGAATGCTCCAATTTGCTCTTGTGTCTTCCTGCTGGCTCCTGGGTGCTCTTTAGGACTTAAATATGCAAGTTCTTGTACATTCCACTAGCTAGAGATATGACCAAAGACCATGAGCCAGCAGACTTCCTCATAGCTCAAGCTCCTTCTCCTTTTTATCATAGATAACAGGCTGACCTCCACTTCCTTCTTAAACTTTACTGTTTGTTCTTCTGTTCAAGTTCCTCATCATTTCCCTTTCTTTCTGCTCTGTTTTAGTCTCTTAATATATGTGCTGCCTTTAGTTTCAAATTTGTCCAAAATTTGCATGATTTCTACTGACTTACCAGTGGTTTCACTTGATCTTGACTTTTGAGCCTCAGACTTCGTACCTCTAAAATAAAGCCAATGAAGCCAGATATGGTGGCCCATACTCGTAATCTCAGCACTCTGGGAGGTTGAGGCAGGAGGGTTCCAAGATTGAGCAATTTAGTAATTTAGTGAGGTTCTGTTTCAAAATAAAAATAGAAGGGCTGGGGATTTAGCTCAAAGGCATAAATGCCTGCCTGGTAAGTGCAAGGTCGTGAGTTCAATCCCCAGTACCAAAAAAAAAAAAAAAAAAAAAAAAAAAAAAAGTAAAATTCAAACAATAAAAATAGAGAGGTTGGGAATGTAATTCAGTGTGAAGGCCTTGGATTCGATCCTCTGTTACCTTTCAGCCAAAGACAATAAATAGGCACTGAATGAGATCATGTCCAAGATTCTTTGCACCTCTTTTATCTTTTTTCCTTCACCCTGTCTTTCTTTTGTTTTACATTTTCACTCTGTTCCTACCCAGCTTCCTCAGAAGTTGTACATTCATCTTTCTACCAACATTGTTTTACTATTACCAACCAAAGGACTTTAGACATATTTAGTTTTATTTAAAGAGAAAAAACAAAACAGAAAAAGGGTACAAGTAATACAAAATTTCCAACAAAATAAACAGTAAGAAATCACTAGTTAATAGATTACATATTATCATCTTAGAAATAGTTGTTCAAGTTATAAAATTAAAGCATATAAAGTGGACATTCAAACAGTGAGACTGCAAACAGTTCTGTTCAATGATCCAACAAAAACTTAGTAATATGGTTATCTATCTTACACACTTAAATATACATGCAGTTATATCCTTTAGAGCACTTTGTTTTCCTCTCTTTTTTACAATAACAATTACACATTTTGGGTTTTATTACTCCCACAGTTCTTATTACTTTTTTTGAAGACAATAAAACCAAATGTGACAAAACAAGGATGCACATAGTACGTGATAGTCAAAACATAGTTAGTCAAAACAAGGATGCACATAGTACGTGATATAAAAGCAGAATACAAGGTGATCAACAATGATTACCATACTGCCTCTTGCTACCTTAAAAAGAATTGCCTATAACATCAGATATAATAAAATTGAACAAAACAATACAGAACAAAACCAATAAAACCAAAACATTGGAGACCTTATAGGACTTCAAAAGAAGATAATAGTCAAACCAGAATGGGCATCATAGTGAATCTTACTGTCTTCAAAGTAATTGCCTCTACTCTCAAACTTGATACTATCAAGCAAAACAGAATAGACTAAAATCAGTCAAAACAAGATGGTGAGAGCAATACAGGGTTTCAAATCAAGTTAATAGGAAATCAAAATGGTTACTATAATATATCCTGCTATTTTTTTCTTTTTCCCTTAATTAAAAAAATAAAAATAAATAGAAATAGAAATAAAAAAGGGAGATTGAGATAAAAGAGGACATAATAACATAACAACACAGGTCAGAACAGAAAATTTAAGCAACATAGTGTTTCACCACAAGATAACCCGACATAACAATAGTTACCATAGTGTCTCTTTCTTTGAAATATTTGAGTATAACTTTGTATACTATAGCATCAAACATATCAAGACAGTGTACAACTATTCAAGAGAATGACAGTATTACAGGGTATTTAGAACCAACTAACAGAAAATGAACAATGGTTTCTGTATAATCTCCTTGTTTAGACAAATTTAAATATGATACCCAAGTTCAAGCTTAAAAATCCTGAAAACCCGTTTCATTTAAAAACTGTATTTCCTATGCTAAATGTATAAAACACATTTGCATGCTATATGTTTCATCTTTCTTGACATTTGCCATCTGCCAATATAGCCATCAACTCAGCAATTCTAGGATTGTGTCTTTGAGTTTCCTAATATCAAAGTGTCTGCTCTTCAGTGCTTAGTAGGTCATTTTATCACGTAAATGGTCTTCTTTTTGATCCTCTTTTCCAAAGCCCTTTTTTTCTTTAAAATATTTTTTAGTTTTAATTGATACATAATAATTGTGCATATTTACAGGACATAATATACACAATACATGTATACAGGGCACGTTGACAACATCAGGGTAACTGGTATAAACAAATGTTTATCCTTCTTGATGTTGAGAACATTTAAAATCTTCTCTGTTGGTTATTTTGAAATATTCAGTTAATGGTTGTCAGCTATCATTGCCCTGCTTTGCTAGAGAAGTTTTTCCTCCTATGAAAGGCCCTCCTTTGATGGTCTTTGTGCACTATAATGATAACAGTTCCTTTTTGCTTTTTATTTCCTGGCTTATATTGCGTTTGATGTTTGATATTGTATTCTTGAAAATATTTCCAAGTCTAGAGATAAGGTACTTTGTTTATTCAACAAAGTTATGTTTATAATCTACTATGTGACATTAATAATGTAAGCGCTGTAAGAAACAAAACAGACAGGAATCTCAGACCTCAAAGCATTTATGTTCTAGAGAAGGGAGAGATAGGCAATAAACAAACTAAATAAAATATATGTTATGTCAAATGTTGATGAGTACCCCAGGGAAAAGTAAAGTCCAGTCAGCAGCTGGGCAGTGCCTATAATGTTAAACAAATTTTAATTTTTAATCAAAGAATGTAGGAATCCATGAGGAGAGATTTCATTATGCTTGGAGGATTAGTAATGAAAGAACTTAGCTTGGGAGGAAGTTTAAAGGAAGAAGTTTATGGGGAAGTTTAGAGAGTTTAGAAGGTTTTCTTTTTTATTATTTTATAAACTAAAACACACAGGGAAAAAAAAAAAGAACCACAATCCATCATCTAACTTGAGTTATTTTACCTCCTTTGAAGGCCATTACCACGTTACTCAAATCAGCCAGAGTCTCCTCTTAATTTAAGAGTGGAAAGAGAAGAGGCCAAAAATAAATGAGAATTATTTACATTGGTAAAAGGAATGTCACTGTTCCCTTAAACAAAGAACAAGACTCGGCAGAGTGAGGCAAGCTGTGCTTCCAATTCACTGAACAAAAGGAGAAATGGATTGAACTGAGCCTGGAAAGTCTAAGGTAGAACTGTTTAAAATAAATGCTAGGGAAATCCTCTCCCTGCAGATTTAGTAATAAGATAAAAGGATAAAACAAGACTTTGAGAAACTATGCTGGGATACTAAACCCCGGATTAGGGAGAAATTAAAGCAAAAATGAAAGTAAGCTCTAGCAGAAAACAGAGCATATTTTAAAATTACATCTCAGGAAACAAGTACTCTGTTTCCTGAGGTTACCAAGGTAGAAGTGATTGTCAGGCACCACTGTGGGGCTGGTAGAAGACTGTCTGGCTTTGCCCTGAATTGAAAGGGCACCGGACACTTGCCCCAGGCTCTGCCTGTCCTTCAGGCACCCAAACGACCGGCATGCACTCTCCTTCTCCAAATACAACCTCTGCTTATAGACTGGAAAGTGAAACCACAGCTACGCACACAGGTAGTTTTACAACAAGCTTTGATAACTGGCCCATGCTTGCAATCCAGTACTCTGGGAGATGGAAGCAGGAGGATCATAAATTCAAGCTTAGCCTGAGCAACTTATTGAGTTAGGAAGATCCTGTCTCAAAATAAAAATTAAAACGAGGACTGGGGATACAGCTCAGTATGAAGGTCCTGGTTCAATTTACAGTGCAGAGGGGAGAAAGAAGAGGAAGACGAAGAAGAAGAAAAAGAAGAGGAAGAAGGGTGGAGGAGAGGAGAGAAAATTAAAACTCCCATTTCCCAGACCCAAATCCCTGCCTTCCATCTCCTATGATGAAAAGGGAATCTAAAGCATGTGCTGCACTTTGCCTATAATTATATGCTAGATGAGTGTGTTCAAATTTCTTGCTCTTTTCTTTGATCAACCAGTTCTTACCATAATAAGTTCAGAATCATATGGAGAGCCTCTGATTTGAGGCTTCAAAGAGATAATTAAACACCGGGACTATAAAGATAAGGTCTATACTCAGCCCACTGTGTGGAGATCAAAAGACCGGTGTCTGGATGGGCTGACTAAAGCAGCAGATCACCCCAGGCTGACTGCTGTCCAGGAGTGTGTGCACCTCCAGCTCTGGGCGTCTATACGGCCAGCCCGTGTGGCCCACGCAGTAGTGGTGCTCGTGACCAGAAGCCACTCTGAGAAGTTCAGATTGTCTTCCTTTTCCTTCTTCATGAAGTGTTTTGACTTGAGGTTTCTTTGCACTTCTGCTTTCTCTTATCTTTCATTATCTGCTTTAGATCTGTGCCCACTAACCTCTTTATCTTCTAATTGGGCTTGTTATATAGCTTTTTCTTCTTTTCATAGGATAAAATCTTTTTTTATATTGCCTGGACTTTGATTCCTTGTTTAGCACGGTTATCTCCTTTGTCGTCTGGAGTTACCTTAATTCATCCTCTTGGGTGCTGATTTTTCCCCCTCTTTCTTTCTTTTGAATTCTGTGTCTTCTTTCACATCAGTAGGTTTTGTTCTGAATCTATGCCAGCCTCACTTCAGATAATAAGTAAAACCTCTAGAACTACTAAAAGTAACAGGCTAAAATTCTCAAATACAATAAACAGTGAGATGCCAGCCTCATTTCAAAGAACAAACCCTAGCTCCATGCTGGCACTCACGTGCTACATGGCTCACTGGCTCTGTTTTCCCATAGACTGGTGATTTCCCAAGCTTGGGAGGGCAAGCACAGCAACATTCCTCACTCCTCCAGGGTCCAGCACTATGTTTTATGCTTAGTAAAGCTAAACTGTTCACGTTACCATTTGCCAAAGACCTTTATGGTTGGCAAGAGTGGTTAAACAATGCATGTGTACATGAATAACACATGCTATATATATGTCCACTTATGCAGAGTTTTGAGTCACATTGGATACTAGTGTATTCGTAGTTAATTCAGTGCTCATTGGCAGGCTGTTTCCTAAATCACAACAGAAATAGCTAAACAAATTTGGAAGTTTTTTTTTTCTTCTTCTAAGTATTTCCCCCCTCTTCTTCCTATACTGACTCAATAATAAAATTTTTAAAGCTAAAAATAGTCTTTCATTCTTCCTATCAAATCCCCTATAGTTCAAACCTGAGGAGAATGTCAGGTATTTAGAAATTAAGTGTTATTATTTTAAAATGAGAATTTTCAGAGTAATGCAGATGTGTCCTTGAAGATTATATAACTTGGAAATTTTCATTAAAAATTTTTTTAATGGGACATTTCTTCCTCCGTTGCTGGTGTCATCTGCAGACAGCATTCCTTAAGGATATCATGCTGTGAGTGGATTCTGTTTTAGGCCATTTCATCTGGAGAAGCACATAACTGTGGCTGAGATACTGCTTGTGGCTGGGTCTTGTTTTCCAGGTGATTGGCAACACGACATCTGGCAGCTACAGCTACAGCCTCCAGAAGAGCCTGGCCTTTGCATACGTCCCTGTAGAGCTGAGTGAGGTGGGACAGCAAGTGGAAGTCGAACTACTGGGTAAAAATTACCCTGCCACCATCATACAAGAACCCTTAGTACTGACAGAACCAGCTAGAAACCGACTGGAGAAAAAAGGCAGAAAAGACAAAACTTGAAAAAGGTCTCACCAGTCAGCTGAATTCTATTACTATTACTATTACTATTACTGTTACTATGTGACTTCTTGAAATTATTAGAATTGGTTCCAGGGGGAATAGAGGATCTAGATTTAGACTCTTAATAAAACTTTCCTCCTAATTGCTTTCTAAGTAAAATAGAATCATGAATGAGTGATTTACATCATTCTTTCAAATGAAGAAATCTGAAGTGAATTTTAAAATTTTGTCTTCTTGTTTATGAGATCCAATCACCAAAATGGTAGTGTTTGCAAATATACAATCACTATTATAACTAAATTTTAAAACTTTATATAATTTAGGAACATAGCAAAAATTTCAAAACAAATAAATTAATGTTTTGTTTTATATAAAAACAAATATAATACTACTGCTTTCTGATTGAGAAATCTTTTCCTAGGTGAATAAATAATAATTTTAATTTTAATTTTTGTAATATATCTATGACAAAGATAATAAAGCTTAATATCAATTTACACTAACATGTTTATTCATTTCTCTGGAATGTGTCTTGTTTTCTTAATGATTTCCCCAAAAGCAGCTTTATAGGACTTTATTTTCTATTTTTATTTTGAAAGTAGCAAAATACAACAGAACAAGACAGAATAAAGCCAACTAAGTCGTACAGTGAAATTGGTACAGAACTTCACAGCAGGTTACCGGGGTAACAGTAATAGGTATCACAGTATGTATCATTATCTTTATAGTAGTTGTTCTTTCAATCACATATATCAAAATAAAATGAAATACAGAACATTATAGAACTTATCAAAACAGAATATTGAATAGAGCAGTACCATTAATCTGAATAGAACAAGACAGTAATAAAAATATTTGCCTTCAAAGAGATGGTAGAAGGAAATCCCCGTTATTTGCTATGGTCATCCTCCCAGGAGATGCTCAGATTTCTGGTTCCCATTTGCTAACGGAGGTGGGGGTGGGGGACAAGAAAAGTGGGATGTTTGACTCTAGGCTGTGCACCAGTAGGTTCAGTATTGCTTAGCAGGGAGGCAGGCTGGTTGCTTGGTTTCTCAGCTTGGTAGGTTCCAACATGGTGTGGATCTCTGAAGACACTGGTTGTTCCCCCCCTGGAGGGGCCGTAGTCTGCCACACTGCAGCCACTTACCAGGGAGGGGAGGTGCTTGCTTGTATCGGATGTTATGATTGTCCTTTCAAAAGCTGTCTTAGAAGTGATATTGTAAAAGAGACAAAGTCTTATACTTGTAAACCTTCAGAAATGCAGTTGATGTCTAAATAGATTGTGCCAGGACAAACAGCCTGAATACTGAGCACCTCTCCTGGGGAAGGGATTAATGCAGGCCAACATTACAAATGCCATCTGCACACTCCTTCCAAAGCATTTGACAAGACAGTTGGGACATGAGCGGAAGAGCCAACAGAACTGCCCTTAGTGCTGCATTCAACAAAGGAAAAAAAAAAACAAAAACGCTCAGGAATGATTCTTTGATATGCTTCTTGGAATTGAGTTCAACTAAATGAATAAATAAGAATTTTTTGTAAATAGAACTTTGTAATTTATAATTAATTTATACACACCACTTTTGTTACACATTTATTGAACTTTTCCTAGGTATTTAAGAAACTGCAAAGCATAACAATCTATATTTAGAATAAGCTCCTAAATGATTTTTAAACTTCTTTTAAAATGATGCCAAATTTAAATTTTAAATGTTTTATAGCATTAATTCCACAGAACTCTTCAACCTGCCATTTTTTCTTTTTGGTATATCCTCTTACATAAGAAAAGGAAGCAATGCCCTCAGTTATGAGCATTTCCTAGTGTAAGGATTCTACCTATGCTTCCTACCCCAGTTCTGGAGTTAATTGCTGAACAAAGTCTCTGGCTAGGGATTGGGAGGTCCACCATTTATTCTCTGCTTCTCAGTAGCCCTGCAGCCTTAGGAGAGTCACTTGCCATATCTGGGCTCTACCTCTGTGAAATAGGTTTAGATTCTTCCAGTTTTTTGGATACTGTAATAAAAAGAAGCAGTAATAAAAGTACAACATTGGACTCGAGTCATACCACTAAAATAGCACTAAAACCAGTCAGTAAAAAGGGTAAGACACTCATATGAATGTTAAACTTATAAAGAAATTCTACCTACAGTATAAGCCTTCCTCCTGACTGTCTTAAGTTGTTCTGGCTCCCTCTTTTGTTGTGTACCGAATGCTGATAGGGCTTGAGTTCACCCTGGCACTCCCATTGTACCTAGCCTATGGTCCTGAGATTAGCAACCATTCCATCTCTGGTCAATTACTTGCAACACAACTTGGCCATGGAAAGATGAGTCAACCTAACAGATTTCACCCATGGGAATGTGAACTGTGATTGTTATGGCTTATATCTAGATGTTCCCCCAAAGCCTCATATGGTCATAAGTGGATATTTTGGCAGTGGCTGGATCTACAATGTGTTATGCTGGGATTCAGGATGCCCCACCTGACATGTAAGTGGCATTGCCCAAAGGGTAGGTAGCCTGGATAAAATATAAAGGCAGGCTTGATGGCTGCGGCTGCCTCTTCACTCCTTTGCTGCCTTCTGCCTTCCATGAACTGTTTCTCCTTTGCAGTACCTGCCACCCTGCCTTGGAGTCAGCCTCACCTCTATAAACCGTGAGCCAAAATAAACCCCTTCTCCTCTAACTTTGGGTTTCGGTATTTTGCCTCAACAATGAGAAACAACTAAGACAGTGACTTTCCAGAAAACAAACTGATTATTACTAACAACTGAGGGTAAAGTTGAAGCTAAAGAGAAGGAATCCAAGCCTATGGGTGGTAGGAGCTCCCCAAAATGAGGGAGGCCACAGAGAGAGACAGAGAAAAGATGCTATCATTAATTGTGCCATGTTAACTGGATTTGAACAAGCACAGCCTGGCAGATTTGTAAGTTCTGGGTGTATCTGTGAGTAATTGACATGTAGGCCAGCAAACAGAAAGGTAAAGCCCATCCTGCATGTGGGTGGCACCAATAAATAGGGTTGTATCTTGGACAAAATAAAAGAGAAAACAAGGAAAAAGTGTTTCCTTTCTTCAGAGAAGCTCCAGTTCTTCACTATTGCCTTTGGATGTTGGTTTCTGGTTCCTTCAGGCATCCAGGGCAGACTATCCATTCTCAGACACAGACGCACACCAGTGAACATGCAGGGAGCTTCCAGGCCTCCAAACACCAGCTGCTACTGGGTCCTCTGACTGTCCAGCACACAACCACTTCATATTCTCCTATCTCTGATCTGTAACACAGCCGTTGGAACTCTTCTAATTCTGACTAAGCTTACCTAATGCAGTCCCATGTAGTCATACATATATTTTCTATTGAATTGGTTCAAGAGAATCCTAACAGAAAGAAAGACAGTCCTCCAATCTCTCAGTTCCTGATGGTGTGGTAGCCAGTTCTGTGGTTAGAACTTTGACTCAAATATCCCAACTGAAGCCAATGGTTTTTGGAAACTGGACCATCCATGGAGGTCTCTAAGGAATGGGCCTAGATTAATATCATCCATAAATAGCAAACAACCAGCAGTCTTGAAAGTACTCTAGTAATGTGCAGAAGCCACATTTGCCGCTCAGGGAGCATCCTCAAGATGGTGATGATGAATGATTGGTATCTGCCCGAGTGAAGAAAGCTTTTTGGAACTGCAAAAGGGTGTTCCACTCAGAACATTGTCAAAACATTTATGGATGTTTTAGATTGGTCATGTTCATGTCCTTATGGATCCGTGTCTTTCTCCTTTGCTACTGACATGGAATGATATAGGAAAAAAACTATTTTAAAGTATGCTCTATGGGACATTAAATAGCAGACAGACTAAATTTTAGAATTTGACTAAGATGATTCTGTATATATTCAATTGAACAAAAAAGATTGAGGTTATTAAGAAGTTCAGCAGCTAGGGAAAGGAGAAAGTTTTAGGCACAAAAACAGCATTCTTTAGCCAAAGTCCCTGTTGTAATTAGGGGTTGTGAGGAGAACAACTGCATTCAGGACATAGAATTTGTAGTATTATTTTATGATGATCACCCAGAGTTAAATACAAAAAAGTGCAAGAAATATGTCTACAATACTAAAGACCTAGAAAATTCAGCCCAGAGCCTGGATTCCACACTAATGCCCTTCATGAGTCCAGCTGAAGATCTAGAGCTCATGACAATGACTCCCCGAAGTCCAGCTGGAAGTCTGGAGCCTATGACAATGACTCACGCAAGTCTGTTTTACAGATCTATGCTGGGAAGGCCCAAAGGTCAGCAATAGAAGATAGAAAGTCTGTGCTAGTGGGCTAAAAGATCTGTACCTGTAGGTTGAGGGTTCTGCAGTGGAGCAAAGAAGCAACACTCAAAATATGGACCGGGGCTCCCCTGCAAAGTACCACAGCCATCCTCAGTGACAATGAAGTCTTGTTCTCCTCCGATGAGAACAGTTGAGTACATGTCAGGAAGCCAGCATGACAAGCTTCTCTTGGAGATTAAACAGCACACATCTTGCCCTCCAAAGCCAGCAAGCAATGCTCACCATAAGAACCAGAGTCAATCATGGCCACTCTCCTTGACAAGCTCCTCTGATGATAATGGCCAAATTCATATCAGGGAAGCTAGCCATCACAAGCTCCTCCAGGAGAACCAACTGCTCCAAACAACACTTAGGAGAACCCACAATGCCATGCTCTTCCTCTCCATGTCTCTTTTTATACTGGTAACTTTCCTCAGGTGGGCCATCTACACTCAGAACCATGCTGTTTTAATTCAGCTGTTGTTAAATTGACTACCAGTTTTTAATCCATAACAGTCCCCAGAGGCAGAACACCAAATGTCAAGTCAATGATATACTCTGAATGAATCTGCATATAAAATATATAAATTATAATCATTTCTACCTCCCTGCCATTAACGAATCTTTAAAATAGCTCAGTGTACTGGAAGCAGTATTATAAATGACAAAATGGTGACATGTTACTTAACAGTACTTTCTCTAGGAAGACTCTTAGGCCATGTGGTATAGGGGAATGATTCAAAGGCTACAGACCCAGAGACAAAACACCTGATCTTCCCAGCTGTGTCACATAGCCGAGCAAAGTCCACATCACATCTACAGAGCCTCTCTTATGTTTAAAGCACTGCCAGTAACTGCATTCCTTAGGGAAGGATCCCCCAGTCTACATGGCCTAGGGAGGACTCACTCCAGCCCAGGCTCTAGGTAGTGAACAGTGCAGAGAGGATCCCTGCCTTCATGGAGATCACAGATGAGAGGTGTCAAGGGAAAGTGCTCAATAAAGAGAAACAGGCAAATTTAGTTATAAGCAGGAAGGGATAGAGTGTGGAGAGAACATTTTGAGAATGAATGTGGCAAGCAGTCAGAAGAAAGTGAAGTCAGGATTAAAGGTTGAAGAGGGCCCTGTGGAATAGGCAAAATGGTCCTGCGTGCCATTGGTGTGGATAATTTCAGAGGATCATGAGGACAAAA